GGGTATGGATAGCTCCCAGGTGGGCTGGGCAGGGGCCCTTAGACAAGATTAGGTGGTTGTGCATTTAGGGGAAGTGTTGGCTGGTGTGTGTGTGTGTGTGTGTGTGTGTGTGTGTGTGTGAGCACTTGCTTATTTAATTTAATTTATTATTTTAAAAAATATATATTTTTATTGATTTCAGAGAGGAAAAGTGAGAAAGAGACAGAAACATCAATAATGAAAGAGAATTATTGATCAGCTGCCTCCTGCACATCCCCTACTGGGGATTGTGCCCACAATCCAGGCATGTGCCCTTGACTGGAATTGAACCCGGGACACTTCAGTCTGCAGGCCATCGCTCTATCCACTGAGGCAAACCAGCTAGGGTTCTCTCTCTCTCTCTCTCTCTCTCTCTCTCTCTCTCTCTCTCAACCTAAGGAGAAAAGGTGCAGGCATTGATTGTTGATCCGTATACCTCTTCTTGACATTGAAGAATGAAACAGTGCTATTCAGTGGATGACTAGAGATATGCTATGGAGAAGGTGGATTGCATGACACCCAGCCAGGCTTTCTCCCTGCCACCTTGCCTGGGCTCCTGACGAGGGAGGGAGGTACCTGATTTCTACCTCTGGGCTGGCCTCAAATGGAACAAATTCCATTTATGGTGGAGTTTTAAAGAGAGAGACTCAGACGTGGCTGCTTTCTCAGGTCGTCATTATGTAGCTAATGACGCTGTGGGAAGGAGCCACAATGCTATCCACTTTAACTTGGGGTTGGAGTGAGCCATGACCCCATGCTTAGAGGTGTCGGGAGGAACCTTCCCATACTCCATGGGTGTCTTTATTTGCAACCCGGAGCGGAGGCGGTGTCTTCAGCTGCCAGGAGGTTGGACAGTGGGAGGAGTGTCAAACATGCAGTGGGACTCTCCAAGGGAACCAGGGGAGTTGTGACACCAGCCATCAAGGGTGCAGGGGTGTGGGTGAGGGGACTAGGCTCAGAGATCAGAGGATGGGGAGCTGGGTGTGCACCGAGGGCTCTTTAGGTGCAGGGCCTGCCCACCTGTCCACGCAGTGCACACTCAGAGAAAAGGGAAGCTGGGAGGAGTGTGGCAGGGGAGGTCCGAAGGGTCTCAGGGAGAGGGGCAAGGGCGTAACTGAAGGCTGTCCTTGGTCCTGAGGTGGAGCTGCCGATGGGTGTGGTGCTAGCCACAGCGCTTGCTCCCACAGGCACGGCCCTCACTGAGGCCAGAACCAGCTCAGACCCCCACCCTCCCCTGGAGAAAGGGGATCCTTTGGAGCCCATAGACAGGAGATGGGCAGTTCCTGGCCACCTCCAGTATGTCCCTCTGCCCCCTCACTCCGTGTCAGACCGTGGCTGCCTACGGTCTCCTGGGAGTCAGTGGATGCACCCCTCTCTTCCTCCAGGTCTGTTCTGGGACACTAGAATGCATATGATCATTTGGCTTCAAAAATTGTTCTAAACTTTGCAGCTGTTGGAGCGAATTCCAAACAAAACGAGACACTCACTTGCCTCCTGCTGCATCCCAGGGTCAGTGAACATCCCTGAGGCTCCTGGAACCTGCCGGCTGAGGCCTGCCTTCCCCAGTTGTCTGTCCATCTGTCCACAATAGCCTCTGAGCAGAGCGAGGCCACACCACCTTGCTCTGCAGGACACAGTGACCTGGAAACAGGAATGAAGGAGCTTATCTCAGATGGAACTGAGGGCTGTGAGGGCAGAGTGGGCGGTAGCAAAGGCTGACTGTTGAGAGGATTTGACACCTATGGGTGCTCTTTGCTCCCCAGCTCTGAGCACCTCCCACCCTGAGGCAGCCTACATGTCCTCAGGTTTTCATTGACTCACTGAGCCTTCCTCCCACCAAGGTCCCAAGTCTGAGCAGCCCCTGAACAATGTCTCCCCTGACACCCCTTCCCTAGTGGAGGACCCTCGGGCTGGCAGGCAGGTTGTCTGGGGTCCTTAGGGCTGGGCCTCAGCTGTCTGTGCAAAAGGGCAGGGAGGTGTGAAGGCTTGAGAAGATGGTGAAGAAAGGAGTGAAAGAGAGGGAGAGAGCGGGACCGGGGGCTTGAGGGAAGGGGGAAGGGCACTTCCAGAGACCACCCTAGAGTCCCTGAACGTGGCGGGTGGACAGACCTGGCCTCTGGACAAAAATGGAGATGCACAAAGCCTGTGGCCACATGGACTGGACCCTCCTGGGTACAGAGTACCCTTCCCTATCCCTCTGCTACTGGCTGGGCCTGAGCACCTTGCTCATCTCCGTGGCCCCAGAGTCCAGATGAGGATTGGAGGGTACTGGCCACATGGGCTTGTTTGGTTCCCAGTTTGTAAATATTCAACCCAGTTTGGGCCACGGCAATGCCCAGACGGTTGGACGAGGGCTGGTCTCTGGCACGTGCCGTGAGAGCCGCCCGTGCTTTGGTCACACGCCGAGTGGACAGCAGGGAGAGCCACATGATGCCGTGGGTCCTGAGGCAACGCAGGACAGGATCACTTTCTCTGGCTCGCAGGGGTGGCAGCGCCAGTGCGTCTGCATCTGTAAATTACCCCTCCGCCCCCAGTTTTCCTTTAGAGAGCAGAACCAGTGAAATATTGATGAGTGCTTAGAGCCGTTTAAGGAGCACGGGAAGTGGGCGGCTCCGGTGGCAGAGCCAGCTGGATTCCGGACACAGGCGGTGCTGAGGGCTCCTGTGCCGGGGAGGCTGAGCAGGCTCCGCGGTGCACGGGCCTCCCCGGAGGGAGAGGCTTTCTGGTTCTCTGCGGGTAGTTCCAAAACAGAAACTTGATGGATTTGTGCTTGGAACAGTGGAGGGTTTCTAAATATTATAATAAATGAATGAAAAATGGGGACCTTGCCTTTGCAGAGCGGGGGCCGTTGGGTGTGCTGGCTCCACCTGGGACGGAGCGGCGCCCTCAGCGGAGGTGCTATGGGAGCCCTGGAGCTCCCTGGGTCCCTCTGCCCTGCCTGGGGCTTCCGAGGAGCCAGGGCCACTTCCAAAAGCTCAGAGAGCAGCTGTGGCTGCCGCGTCCCCGGTAAAGAGCCAACCCACCTTTCCTCCTGTAATTCAGCTTTTTCCCATTTAAAATCAAAGCCACACGCCCCAAGGAGAACTCACTGATGGACCATCCGATACAGAGGCCACAGCTGTTACCTCCGCGGAGGGCTTGCCGTTTGAGCGGGGTCCACGACCCACCTCTGCCACCTTCTCTTTCTCTGCTCTTTCAATAATCTATCTGCAGGAAATCCAAATGACCCAGGCACACTTCACCTGGCAGGGTGCTTGCCAGCTTCCCTGGGAAACATCACAATAAAGAGCGGTAGATTGCATTTCAGCTGCAAGCAGGCCTGGCAGCCAGGTGTCAGCGTCCGTGTCCGTGTCCTGCCTGGCGGCCCGCAGTGCGTGTGAAGGCTCGCGGGGTAAGGAAGCCCTGGACGCCTGCTCCTCTCACCCCCATGTGAGCCGCTGCCGCAGGGAGCCTGCCTCGTGGGAAGGGCAGCCCCGGCTCCCGCTGCGGCAGCTGCACTCAGTGCACGGCCCCCGCCCCCCGCAGTCACCGGGCTTTGGGTTTTCCTCTTAACAAATCACATACGTCACCATATGTTAGTGCCGCGTGGGGAGCTTCCTTCTGCAGAATTCATCTCAGTACTTGGGGGCTCCCTCCTGTCTCCCCAGGGCTACCCAGACACCTGCTCCCACTGCTTTGGCTCCCTCTCTCTCGACACATCTTCCCCACTGCCCACCGTCCCCCTGGCAGCACGGTGGCGGCCTGAGACAGGCGGGCTGCTCCCTCCTTTTCCTGGCCACAGTGAGCCATGAGGCCTTCGGGGGTCCCGGCAGAGGCCGCTCTCTCTTGGAGACACACGGCGTGTCAAGGCTCCGCCCAGCGCCCACCTCCAACCTCGTTGTCGCCTGCTGCTAGATGTGTCATGAGTGACATAGGCCAAGTCTCGGGCTCACCGGGGCCCCCTGGAGGACAGTGTGGGCGTGCCCCCCACGAAGTGGATGAGGGCTGGGCACTGGGGGGCGTCACCAATGGGCTCCAGTGAGGTCCAGACCAGCGGCCGCCAACCGGTGGTCCTCGGATCACTGGTGCTCTGTGAGGTCCGTAAGGTTGGCGACGCTGGTCTAGGCTGTCTCATCTCCTCGCAGGTGCCACTCAGCCTCTCCTGGGAGAAGTGGCTTTGGGCAGGGCCTGTGGGTCTGGTGAGCTGACACTTTGGTCTTTATTCACGCCCCAGACTGGCTCTGCCGGGCACGGCCTCCGCCTCTGGGCAGGCACACAGCCTGGTGGCCATGGGCATGAGGCAGTGGCTGCTCACGCAGAGCTGCTCGGAGACCAGGAGACTCGCAGGTTTCTGAGTTCCCACAGAACAAGCGTCTCATTCACAACCTTCCTGTCAACCATTGTTGAAACGAAGGTGTTCGGGCAGATTGGGCTAAGTTTATCGTTGGCGTTAGCTGTAGCTGTTTTTTCACAGCGCACAGAGATGTCTCTGGTCCCCGCTGTGGTCCCCGGGGAGGGTGTGCCGAGACGCCTCTGGGAACACATGCAGGGGGACGGCCCCGTGGGACGGCCCCTGAGCTCAGGCCGCCTGTCCTCAGGCTGTTCCTGGTGAGCACACCGTGAAGCTCAGAGCCGTCCGCCTCTGGGCGCTTCCTGGACGGCCCATTAGGTCCTGCTTATGACGGACGCCCTCATGTCGGCTCCCGCAGGAAGCTGGGTCTGGGCCGGTGAACTACCCTGATTCCTGAGCCTGACCCCATGGGGGGGTGGTGGTGGAGCAGGCCCTGCCTTCCTCAGCTGTGAACCTGCGGTTGGGGTGGGGCAGGCGCAGGGGCCAGGGGTGAGGGTGGTGGGGGGCTGCTGCTCTAGGCCCCAGGTCTTTCCCGCGGAGCCAGCCATTCCTTGGATTCTGTGTCGCAGACCCGCCTTCACCAGCAGAGCTGGGGCGGGAAAGCGGGCGGGCGGCACCGTCTTCCCTGACCTGCAGCTGTTTCTCCTTGCAGATGAGCTTAGAGAACGAGGAGATGCGCGCTCGCACCAGATCCAAGGCCCTGCGAGGTGAGTGCTGCCTCCCCGTCTGTCCTGCTACCACAGCTGGCTCTGTCCGAGGCCCAGGCCGAGGCTGTGGATGCCACTTCCCCGCAGGAGAGCGGCCCACGGCGATGCCCGCCCCCCCCTCTGGGCCGGGGCCTGGTCTAAGGCTGCTGGTGGCTCGGGGCTGTGGGCGCTGCGGAGCGCTCCCAGACAGAGCGTCGGGCGAGGTGCCAGGCAGACACATCTCCACTGCGCGTTCTTGGCGCAGTTAGGGAGACGTGCCCACTGGCTGTCAGGGCCCAGGAGCCTGTGTCAGGTGGGGCGCCTGCCCCTCCAAAGCCACCAGCCTTTCCAGGCTGGACCTAAGGTGCACTAGCAGGTCAGGAGGAGGTGCCACAGGGTGGCCGCCGCGCCCCAAGTGCCGTTTAATGCTGACTCTGTGTGCTTCCTGTCTCTCACCAGCACCCCTGGAGCCCACCGGTGCCGAGCTCAGGTAGGAGGACTCCCCGCTGGCGACGAGCCTATGACCCTGCATGTCCTAATGCCCCCACGGGCTCCTGGGATGGACCAACTGCACCTCTGGCCCCGTTCCCTGACGAGGCCCCTCTCTCCTTGGCACGTGTCAGCTGTCACCCCTTGCCCCACCTCTGCCCTGGCCCTACCACACCATGGCAGGGGCACAGCCTGTGAACCTTGGCCACCACCGGAGGGCGATCACGGGTCTCCGCCGTCCTGAGGGCTGTCTGGGTGGGGTCCCAAAGGCCTGTGTACCGCTGTCTGAGGCCCATGGGCTGGAGATGGAACAGGCTTCCGGGCCCAAGGCTGCCACTGACTGGGACACGCAGGCAGTGTGTTGGGGTCTCAGTGGCAGAGCCGGTGACTGCAGATCCAAGCCACACTGCCAGGGCCGAGCCCGAGGAGGAGGGACAGCCCTCTGCAGCCAGTGCGAGTGCGAGTGCCCCCGAGGCCAGGCCCTCCCGGGGCTGAAGGCCTCTGTCCCGGGGTGTGGCCAAAGCCTGCGGTTGGGATGGCCAAAGGAAACCCACCCCAATGCCTATGTGCCTGCCTCCCAGCCCCTCCCCTCCCCTCACTGCCTGCCCAGCCCCTCCCCTCCCCACACTGCCTGCCCAGCCCCTCCCCTCACTGCCTGCCCAGCCCCTCCCCACACTGCCTGCCCAGCCCCTCCCCTCCCCTCACTGCCTGCCCAGCCCCTCCCCACACTGCCTGCCCAGCCCCTCCCCTCACTGCCTGCCCAGCCCCTCCCCTCCCCTCACTGCCTGCCCAGCCCCTCCCCACACTGCCTGCCCAGCCCCTCCCCTCTTCACACTGCCTGCCCAGCCCCTCCCCTCCCCTTACCTCTTCCCCTTCCCTCACCGACTGCCCAGTCCCTCCCCTCCCCTCACCGACTGCCCAGCCCCTCCCCACACTGCCTGCCCAGCCCCTCCCCTCCCCTCACCGACTGCCCAGCCCCCTCCCCACACTGCCTGTGCCTGTAGTCGGGGCTCTTCCCAGGGTGTGGGACCCTGGTCTCAGACAGCCCCAGGGTGTGTCTAGCACCCTGCCTGGCCCCGCGGGCGTAGGTGGGTGTGCTACACCTCGAGATGCCATGCTGAGGAGCCTGGGCGACCAGCACACCCCATGGAAGTCTCTGTGAGCTTCCAGACTCCCGGCTGGAGACAGACGTGCCCCCTGAAGCTGCTGGCCTTCCCTCAGCACGCCGCTCCTCCTCCTGGCCCTCCGTGCACTCTCACCAGACGGAGGGACAATGGGCCAAGACCACTGTATTCTCTCTAGGCGGCTGCTGAGGCCCCCAAAGTGTCCCAGAGTCCCCCGAGCTCTGGGCTCTGCCTGGGTTCGGAGGGAAAGGGGCCTGGGCGGAGGGGGGCTCCGAGCGGCTTGGGCAGCGGCCGGGAGCTGCTGGGAAGCTGTGCTGCGCTGTCACTGTGAGCGGGAACCGGAGGGTGAGAAGGTTCAAGCTTTCCAGCCCAAAGAGCAGCACCACATGCTCTGCAGCTCAGCACAGTCCGGGGTCAAGGGTGAGAGGGTGAGGGTGGGCGGCAGGCAGACCAGGCGCCCTGAGAGAGGCCGCGGACCCCCGAGGCGCTGAGCACAGGCCAGAAGCTCCTGAGAGGAGGGCCGCTTCCTGGCCGGCCGTGTGGCCTCACCTGGGACATGCTGGCGTCCGCGTTGGTAACGAACGGCAAACAGTTCAGCCGGTAGATGGGCTGTGGGGAAGCTAGAAAAGGAGCCACAAAGGGCTGGGCATTCTCTGGGAGAGAAAATGACTCAGACGGATTTGCTCTGAAACAGCTTAGGAGAAGACTGGCAGGTGAGGGAGGCTCGGTGGCTCCGGGCTCTCCAGACGGGTGCCTGTGGGCTGGGTCGCAGATTCCCGTCAGTTTTCTGGGAGACGCAGGGAGCTGGGCCCAGCGTTCCAGCAGCAGGGTCCCCGAGAACGGCATCAGCAGAGCGGGCGGACTGCACCGCGGCTCGCACAGTGCGGTGCCCGGGAGCTGCACGCGGATGTGACGCCCACGGGCTGACGGGGAGCCGCGGGTCCCCGCCCCCAAGCGGACAGGGCCGCCCTGGTGGACGCCACTGTGGGTGCTGACACGAGGAGCTGGGTGTGAGGTTAGAGAGCGCAGGGCTCGCTCTGTGGGGAGGTGGTGGGCCCATCGCCCCAGAGCCCCGCCTCCCCGGCACCCCAGCTGCCCCTCACCGGTTCCAGGGCGGCCCTGGCGCAGGGCTGTGGGGCTGAGCTGCTGGAGGCTGGGGGTGGGGCGCAGCCTCCGGTCTGAGTGTCGGTGGGAACATGTGGTCCGTGGGAGGTGACAGCCACTTTCCTGCGGTTCAGTCAGGCCCAGCTGCTGCCACACACGCTGTTCATGCTGAGACCTGGGAGCGGTCTCCGGGTCGCTCGGAGCTCCCACGCCAGGCCCTCAGGCGCGGCGCTCGCAGCCGCACAGCCTCCTCTGGGCGCGGGCGGAGGTGTGTCTCAGGCAGGTGACGTGGGGCAGCTGCCACCTAATTGCCCGATTAGCTCAGCGATTACTCGGCTAATTGGGACCTCAGCTTCCAAGCCCCAGTAACAAGGAGCTTTTGTGGAAAGCCTCAGAGGGTGGGGCACAGCCTGCCACCGCCAGCCGGACAGGCCGCGCTCTGCCTGCAAAGGAGGCCCACAGTGACCGGCATGTCTCCCCCCCACCGCCTCCCCCGCTCCTTCCGGTCTTTCTAAATCAATGAAAATCAGCACTGAGAGCAGCCTCGAGGCCCCCAGGGGCTGCAGGCAGTGCACCCACCAGCTGCTCCCCTAGGCCGCGGTGTGGATGGGGTTTTGTCCTGTGTCTCCCTGACCTGTCCCAGGCGTGGCCAGTCGGGCCCCAAGCTGTCTGCACTCAGGCCGGTTAGACGTCCGGGGTGTGGGCAGAGGTGCCCCTGTCCTGGCCCAGGAGCCTGTGCATGTCGGCCCGAATGTCCTTTCCTTCTTGGCTCTGGGGAAGTCTGTTCAAGGCGGAGCGCAGGCCTCCCGGGGCTGCTCCTGTTAAAAATGAGGTCTTCTCCCCTTGGGCAGGGGACCTTGGGGTGACCCCTTCTAGGGAGGCTCGGCCCCTCCTTTAAGTGACCTCCATCTTGCTGGGTGCCAGTTTGCTGCTCTGTAAAATGGGGTGATAACAGCTCTTTAAAATCCTTAGTCTGTGATGTGTCCAGCAGCCCATAGGTGCTCGCTGCATGCCCCCCAGGCCTGACCCAGGGCACTGGAGAGGCTCCTGGGCAGTGGCCCACGCTCATGACCAGAAGTCTCAGCACTTTCCCATGGTTTGGTCCTGTGGGAGACAGATGATGGTGAAGAGTGAGGGACTCCTGGGGTCGCGCCTCCATTCACATTCATTCACCAGTCCTGAGGGAGCTGGGGAGGCCCACCATCACCCCCTCCAAGGTCTCATGGCAGCTCCTGGGTCACCCGTCCTCCTGGCTTCACCACACCATGTGGCCGCCACAGCTCCGTGTGTGCACATCCTTCCTGCGGGCCCGGGCTCAGCGCTACGGGCCCCTGTGGTGGCCAGGGCATCCCAGAGTCTGTGTGTGCCAGGGGCCAGCCGCAGGCCCGGTCCTGGGGTGCCTCAGAGCCTGCCCAACCGGGGCAGCTTGGCTGCTGAAAGCCGGGTCCTGGGAGAGGGAGAGCTTCCGGGAGCTGCGCTCCGAGCCCTGCCTCCGCACGGACACTCCGACAGGCACTTACGTGGGGAGCGATTTCATTAGTTTTTTGCCAACTGGGAGCGGCCGTTCTGAGAGGAGCAGCTTGGAGACAGTCTTCTGCTCCCGGGTGAGGTCCGGGCTGGGCCCCTTCCCCAGCGACCGCTCTGCTTGCCTCCCCAGCTGCCCCACGCCGGGATGCTCGGGCTCAGGGCACACCCGCGGCAAGTACTCCAGGCACCGGAGGTAAGGAGGCCTGTGGCCTCACCTTGGTTCCTGGGAAGGAGGGTGGGCTGCTGGGATGCTGTAGCACATCCACCGCTCTGAGCCTTTTGTGGATCTAGAACCTTCCATGTCTGTCCACGGTGCTGATCCGGTGTCCTCCCACGCCACCTTACGGAGGGGCTGTCCCAGCTGAGGCGAAGCGGTGGGGCTGCTGGGAGGCCGCAGGGCTCTGTCGGGGAGCTTGGGGCGGACCGGGCCCACAGGGCTGGCTCAGGTCATCCCAGGGCTCCATGGACCCCACCAGCGAATCTGGTGCCGCTAGCAGTTGGAGGGGATGTGATGGCAAGGGAAACAGGGTGAAGGGCAGGGGGCAGGGAGGTATGGTGGGTGGCCACAGCCTGGCCCCTTCCTCCAGTTTGCAGAGCTGCCCTCTGGCCAAGAAGAGGAAGCTGGAGGGCCCCGAGGCCCAGCACCTGGTGTCCACACGGAAGTCACCCCCCTTGAAGCTGGCTCTGGGTGAGGGCTACGGCGCGGACAGCGACGGCAGCGAGGACGCCGAGGTGAAGGACGCCTCTGTGTCAGAGGAATCGGAAGGAGCTCTGGAGGAGGCCGAGGCCGAGATGTCAGGACAGGAGGAGGCTCGGCACCCCCCACCAGCTGAAGGTGCCTTGTTCTTTCTGCCCCGAATCAAGGCGCCCAGTGTGTGCCGGGAGCCGCGGCTGGGCCGGGAGTGCCCTGCCAAGAAAGTCCTTCCTGAGAACAAGGGCACCCTGTTCCGGCGGCGGTTTCCGCGGGGCCGCGCTGCGCTGTGTGAGATGGGTGTGTGTCTGTGCACGGAGAGCCTGACACCCCGACACAGCTGTGTGGCCTTGGGAAGGGAAGCCTGGGGCTGCTTGGCGCTTGGTGAGATGGAGGAGGATTGAGGGGACCTGTTTGCACCAGCTTCGCCTGGGACACCCCGCCGTTGGCAAAAGCTGGTGTGATGGACCAAGGTCCAAGCCCCCTCGTACCCCAAGCTCCTCGGTCTGAGGTGGTTGGCTAACTTGTTGCTGGCCCTGTAGGGCCCCCACACCTGCCTCCGTCCGGAGCTGCGGCTGCACCTGAGGGTGCTCCATCCCTTGGAACCCAGGCACAGGGCCGGTGCGGAGAGTACCCCACATCTTAGTCACTGCCCTGAAACATTTTAATTTGGGTCCTTTAAAAAGTATAAATTTGTCTATTACTTTTCAATTTTGAAACAATTTTTAAAAATCTGATGCATTCTTTGAGCTCCGTTTTGTGAGGTGACTTAGAAAATACCACATGGTGTTCCCATCTGCCCCTAAGAAAGCTCACTGGCCTGAGGTCCGGGCCGTGGCAGTGATGCAAATGACCTCATGATGCCCACTGCTGGGCGGGGACAGGCCTAGACGCTGCCTCCCGTATCCCCTTCATGTGGCTTTTCTGCTCTTGTGCAGGAAGGAGCCCCGTCCAGTCTCATTTCGGCTCCAATCCCATCGGCACCGCCACGGGCTCCTCCAAAGGCAGCTACAGCAGCTTCCAGGAGGTCATTGCCACTTCCCTCCTAGACCTGGGCCACGTCTCCAAGGAGCCCCTGGTCAGGGAGGGCTCCGGCCAGCAGGCCGCGCCGGGCCCCGGGGGCCTGCTCCTGGTGCAGGAGGCAGCAGGAGGGGAGAAGGACATCGAGGAGGTCATTGAAGTCACCAGTGAGTGCGCTCAGGGGCCGGGGCCCCAGTTCCCCGAGGGTGTGGCCAGCGAGGAGCTCTGCCAGCAGACAGTCTCTGAGGGCCAAGAGGAGGGGGAAGCTGAAGAAGAGGAGGAAGAGGAAGAAGAGGAGGAGGAGGAGGAGACCGAGGACGGGGAGGATGAAGAGGACGAGGAGGTCACTCCTGATGTGACCTGCCGGAAGAGCACCCCTCGTTCCCCCCCAGAACAGGCCCCTGGGCCCCCCTGCCGCAAACCAGAGTACTCGGTCTTGGTGGAGCTGCGGTCTGAGGACGGCAAGGATGAGGACTCCAACTCCCAGAAGTCCGCGGTCACAGACGAGTCCGAGATGCACGACGTGATGACACGGGGGAACCTGGGCCTCCTGGAGCAGGCCATCGCCCTGAAAGCCGAGCAGGTGCGGGCGGCGTGCGAGCCCGCAGAGCCGGGCCTGGGCGAGCCGGCGAAGGTGGCCAGGCCTCTGGATGCGGTGCGGAAGACCTACTGCAGCAAAGGTAGGGCTGGCACGGGCCCACACGCCCCTCCCCCTCCCCCCGCCGGGGCGCCAGGCGTGCAGGGGCACCAGAAGAGACCTGACCCATGCAGCGTAGCCAAGTGGCAAAGGTCACAGGCCACAGAGTGAGGCATGGAGCTGAGGACGGCTCACGCTGCGCACACGGGGCCACCAGAGAGCAGCGCTGAGCGGAGGCACCAGCTGAGCAGAGGGGAGGAACGGTGACCCACCTCAGTGGCTCAGCCTCAGCCTGGGAGCCACGGGTGGGAGGGACTTGTGTGAGCTGTAGGTCATGGGCCACCTCGCTTGTTTGTGGAGACACAGGGCCATGCTTTCTGGAGATGATCGCGCCTGTGGGACGGCACAGGGGCATAGCTGAGGGGACATAGATGGGGACGTCATTTCAACCCGAGGAGAGCTGTCAGGGAGACCCTTGGGGGTGGCAGTCTGGGGACAGCAGTTTGGGCTCCTCGTCAGGCCAGCACAGGCTCCTGCGCAGGCCTGGAGGGAACGTGGACCCGAGGAGGTCCGAGTGCAGGTGACATGGACTTCGGGGTGGTGTAGGGTGCCAGTCCGAGGGCGGCCGTGGGGTCCGCAGTGCAGTGGGAGAGGGGCTACAGGCAGTGACAGCTCAGGCCCAGGTACTCAGGGGCTCATACTGGGCGGTAGGGGACCCAGACGCAGTGCCTGCTTTCAGGGCTGAGGTTGAGGGCAGGGACCCAGGGGACAGACCCAGAAGGCTGGTGCCAGCTTTGCGACGCCTCCCTGTGAGCAAGGCTATGGCCTCTCAGCTTCCCCCAGAGGGGCCCTCTGCCCAGGAGCTTCACCAGGGCAAAGGCCTGGCTCCGGAGGTCCAGATTCTGACAGGAGTCCATTTTGGGCCTCCACACATATGGGTGACTCTCCAGCCTTGCAGAGAGCAGATGAGGCTGGTGATTGAGACTTGAGCTTAAATTTCTGCCCCAGCACTTAGTAGGCATGTCATTTGGGTGAGTTTTTTAACTTCTCTGTCCTCCTTATTTTGTCACAAACAAATGGCCAGTCCTGGCAGGGACCTTTCTCTGCAGAGACTGACCCTGAGCGTGGGGCTCCGGGTGGTGTGCCCTCACTCTGAAGCCGGGGGCAGAGGGACCGGGCTGGCTGCCCCCATGTCCCTCAGTCCCAGTGCAGCTGCTCTTGGGTGCCCGGTCAGTCTCTGGGCAGATACACGTGTGTGGACCAGTGTCTCTGGAGTTGCCTCTGTGCAGCCCTGGTCCCTCTAGGGCTGTGGGCAGACTGGCCATCTCCTCCTTGCACGCCAGAGAGAAGGATCAACTGTCCTCGCCACCCAGCTTGCAGCTTCCTGGGCACCTTCTGACCAGTGTGTTGTGTGTTTAGATTCCTCAAGAGCAGAGAAACGTGAGATCAAGTGCCCAACCCCGGGCTGTGACGGCACTGGGCACGTGACAGGGCTGTACCCGCACCACCGCAGCCTGTCCGGATGCCCCCACAAGGACAGGATCCCTCCAGAGAGTGAGTAGCTCCGCAGAACTCAGGACACAGCTGGCTTTGGATGGTGTCTAAGTGGCCACTTAGGCCCTGTCACTTAGATTGGCTCAGTCCAGATGCCCGTACCAGAGCCCTATGAGGCTGGGGACATGGAGCGTGCCCCATCGTGCACCTTGAGAAGGCAGCTTTGGTCAGGGCCCCCTGAAGATGGGCATGGGAGGCATAGCTGAGGGAGATGAAGCACCCCCCCCCCCTCGGGCAGGGGCTGCGTCTGCACCCTGGGGGCTCGGGGAGCCTGTCCTGGCCCCAGACTGGAGGCGGTAATTGAAACGGAGGCTGACAGGACCCAGTCACACTGCACGGCTGGGGGTTTCCAAGCTGAGTTGTTTCTGCCCCAGGGAGGCAGGGGGCGGGGCTGGGGAGGTGGGGGCATGCCCCGACTGGGCTGAGACTTGGGGACTGGAACTGCCCTGGACCATGGCTCAAGGTGCAGTGTGCCTGTGCTGTGAGCTGCAACCTCCGGGTGGACTCCTGCCTCAGGGCTGTGCTCACAAGCCCTCTCTTGCAGTCTTGGCCATGCACGAGAACGTGCTCAAGTGCCCCACCCCTGGCTGCACGGGCCAGGGCCACGTGAACAGCAACCGGAACACACACAGAAGGTACTTGCCCAGCTGGGCGTGGTGGGGCGGGTGCGGCGCAGGGCTGTGGTGGCCCCTGAGGGCAGCTGGAAGGTCAGGGCAGCCCTTAGTGTCACTGGGTTAGCATCTCCCCAAACAAGCCACCTGAGCAGGGGTGCTCTGACGCTCGAACCCAGAGCAGAAGAGCCAACTCTGGCAGAGCGACAGCCCCAGGCCCCACAGGCTTCTGCGCGTCCCTGGCCAGAGGACAGGGCCCAGAGGAGAGGCTCAGCTGTCCCCCTGTCCTTCTCTAGTTTGTCTGGGTGTCCCATTGCTGCTGCAGAAAAGTTAGCCAAATCTCACGAGAAGCAACAGCCGCAGACAGGAGATCCTTCCAAGTTGGACTCCAACTCAGAGCGGATTCTCAGGCAAGTGCAAGCACTGAAGGGGCTGCCTGCGGGCAGCACGGGCCTGTAGGTGTGGGTGTGGGTGTGTGCCTCCAGTAGCCGCGGGCCTTCCAGCATGGAGCTGGAGGGCAGTTTCAGGGTGCACGGACTCTCTGGCCTGCTGCAGAGGCGGGGGGGGGGGGGGGGGGGGGAGGGCAGGTTCCTTCATCCTGAGTGGTTGACAGTCCCCTCCTAGTGGTCTTCCTGCCCGGCTCCTGAGCTCTCTGGGCTGGTCTTCATACCGCCTCTTATGCATTTAAACATCTGCATTCTCCAAGAGCTTCAATAACAAAGAAACGGCATGCCCGTCGTGGCCTTCCCACGCCTGCCCCGTCCCTGCCCAGTCCTTCAAGGGCCATCTCAATCGTCCCTGCCCGTGAAGAGCTGCGTCGGGCCAGTCGTGAGGGTCCTCCTTGAGGGTTCTCAGACATCTGCTGCAGACTTCCTCCCTGGGCCCATACCCCCCGCCGGAGGCTGCCCTGGGCGCCCGCAGCCAAGGGCTCCCTCGTATGTTGCTGAGTTGTTTGAAACCTACTCTCCTGAGGTCGCAGGCCCTGCCTCCTCTGGCTAATGCTGTCTGCAAGGGGTCAGGCCACCTTCCTCACCCAGACCAGGCCCCAGGCAACTGTTAATGGTGGGACATGGGGGAAGGTCTCCCAGGGCCTGGCTGCTGGCTCTGAGGGTCCTGACAGGCTGGGGGATGAGTAGCACGGGTTCCTGGGTCCTGCCCTCACGGTCTGCATCTGTCCCGCACCCCAGACCCATGTGCTTCGTGAAGCAGCTCGAGGTCCCTCCATATGGAAGCTACCGGCCCAGTGTGGCCCCTTCCACGCCCAGGGCCAACCTGGCCAAGGAGCTGGAGAAGTTCTCCAAGGTCACCTTTGACTACGCAAGTTTTGATGCTCAGGTTTTTGGCAAACGCATGCTTGCCCCAAAGATTCAGACCAGCGAAACCTCACCTAAAGCCTTTAAATGTAAGTTGGGGAGCATTGCTCCTGGGAGGTGTAGAGTGAGGAGCAGTGGAGGGACCCGGCCAGGAGGGCGTCTGCCCTGGGGCTGATGGGGCAGACCCAGGGCTCAGTGTCCCAGGGTCCACCTCCTCTTCACCATCAGACTCCCCGCTCTGAATCTAAACCAAGCCCTCTGTGGGGCGTGTGTGTCGAAAGGTGTGAGAAGGACGTTGCTGCTGTGGCCACCCTGAGAGGACCCCTCTTCTGGCCACCTGCTCCCAGCCTGTTCATTCCCAGAGCGAGGCAGGATGTGTGCGAGTGTGTGCACATGTGGGTGCATTGGTGTGCATGCATGTGTGTGTATGTCCAGGGCGGGTCAGACAACTGCTGTGTTGAGCCTGGCACCTGACAGGAGCCATTTCCCTTCTGCTGGGGCAGCCCGGTGGATGCAAGGTGCTCTTTGTGACAGTAAGCAACACAGTCTCTGGTGTTTGTACAATAAACACGGACCAATAAGCACCCTGCCTGCCCTTGGACTCATCACACTGCTTGCCAGCCCTGAGCCCGGAGGGGCATTTGAAGTGGAGAAGGGCCCTCGGCCGGCATGGAACTGGCCTCTGCGGGAGGAACTGCCCTGGTGCAGCAGTGACGGTGCCCTACCTGTTAACAACGAAGATGCCGACGAGACGTGTCCTGGAGCCGGGCGCCTCGCCGCCGGCGAGGTCAGGGCAGCCCGCCTCACACAACACCGGCGCCACGCGCTCCGCAAGCCGCAAGTCGTGATCGCTCAGACACCTCAGGCCTGAGAGCACGATTACTAGGAAAGACGCCATTTGTGCCTGATGTTTGTGCGGACGTTCACGCTGCTTTACCAAAGCGGGGACGATTATGGACACACCCCACCAGCCTTTGAGATGATTGACATCATAAACCTGCCTGGAGGCATCCAGACAGCCGTCCTGTTGGCAGAACTTTTTCATCTTGTGAGAGTCACTCACCAATGGGCAACTTGTGTTTTTTTTTTTTTTTTTTTTTTTTTTTTTTTTTTTTTTTTTTTTTTTAAATATCAGGGATGCTGGAATGTCTTTGAGGGTTTTATTCTTTCTGCACACATTTTGGTCAAGCCAAATACAGCCCCTTCAGCCCCAAACGGGAGGGCAATGGGAGCTGGGTGTGGGCATCTGTGAGCAGTCTGACCGGCCCTGCCTGACCCCTTCCCCGCAGCTCTGCCCTGCGCCCCCTCCCTCCCGTCCCGTGTGCACCTGAGTGCCACCTGCTGCCCAGCGTGGTGGTGTTCCCTCTGTGCAGCCAAACCTTCCCCAGGGCCTCCTCCCACACAGCTCCTGCTCTCCACCCTCTCTGCAGGCTTCGACTACTCGCATGACGCGGAGGCTGCGCACATGGCCGCCACCGCCATCCTGAACCTCTCCACACGCTGCTGGGAAAGGCCCGAGAACCTCAGCACGAAGCCACAGGAAGCGCCTGGCAAGGTCGGTGTGTCCCCTGCGGGCCCTTTCGGAGGCAGACATCGCGTGGAGGAATCTGCAGTCAGGGCTACCTGTCCATCTGGGGCGGGTGCTGCTTTCTCCCTCTCCCTCCACTGTGGCTCCTGGTGAGCAGAGCTCGGATGATGCCCTCTGAGAGCTCTGTGTGCCGAGCCCACAGAGGGACTACACTGGCGTTCCAGCGTGCCTCCTCGAGACTGAGGGCCACACACACATGTGTTCTCTCATATCTCTGGAGTCTATCATGCACACGTATGTTCCCTTGTGTCTCCCTGAGACTGAGGGTCATGCACATGTTCTCAGCTGACCATGCTCTTGCCCTCAGGGCCCGGTCTGTGGCCCAGGGAGACTGAAGGAGGGAGGTCACACATCCTCCATCTGGGCCTCAGGCCTTGTCTCTCGGAGGCGCTTCTTTCTATCTGGCTACTTCCTTCTGAAAGAAGTAGGTCTGGGCGCTCTGCAGCGCCGCCTTGGGGAGGATGTGGGGTCAGGACGCAGACGCCCCTTTGCGTTGTAGGCGGTGGCCATCGAGGTGGATGAGCACGGGACGCTGGACCTGAGCATGCGCAGGCACCGCAGGCGGGAGGGCGCATTCCCGGGCGGCGGCGGCCCCGGGGGGAAGGCTCCCGAGGCCTCCCAGCACCAGAGCAGCACCAGCGCCCCCGGCAGCTCCATGACGCCCCAGTCCAGCCAGGCCTCCCACCAGGATGAATGGGACCGGCCTCTGGACTACACCAAGCCCAGCCGCCAGCGAGAGGAGGAGCCTGAGGAGGTGGGTGCGCGGCCTGAGGGGTCCCGTCCCTTTGCACTGGTTCTGCTCTCTCTGCAGCGAGGACTCGGCCGCCTCCCGGTGGGGTTCTGCCAGTGCGAACGCAAGGTCTCCTTGCCTCTCCGCCACGGTGGGGCCCTGGAGAGTCCGGAAAGAGGGGCTTCTTTCAGAGCTCCTTGGTTTTGGGGCTTCCCACCAATCTGCTTCCCCCAAAAAACACCTGAACCCTAGCAGCAGCCCTGGGCTCTCCAGGCCACCGGGCTCCGTGGACAGAGGCGGGAGAGAACCCCAGGCCCCAGGCCTTGTGCTGGCGGGGGCCTGGTCCCAGACAAGCACCGCCTGGTGAAGAGCAAAGAGCTGGCGCCTGTGCCGGACGGGGTCTGGCCGGGCGGGCAGTCCCTGCCCAGTCGCTCCCCCCAGCTGAGATCTGGCTGGTGGAGGGCTTTCCCCAAGAGCTGTGTGTCCCGGACAACAGAGCGCAGCTCTGCGGGCCACACCACCCTGGCAGCTCTTCCGTGTGGGCAGGTCCCCTGGCCCCTTCCTCACCGAGGAGGGCAGGACAGGTCACTGTGGAGGAGGAGGTGGCAGGGAGACCTCTCGTCTGAGCACTGTCCCCTCCAGGCTCCCTCTACATGTGTCACATGCACCCCCACTTTACAGAGAGCAGCCGAGGCCCCAGGCTGAGGTCACATGACTCTCATTTGGTGTTTGGCACCCAGGAGGGTTGCCTCTGAGACAGCCCCCGTGGGCGGAGGCTGGCCAAGACCCGCCCACCTGGGCTGAGCTCCCACCTCCTCCCTGATTGGCAGGCCCGTCTTTAGTTAGGACCTCCTTGTGGGGGCTGCAGTGCAGGTGGGCCTCTGCTTCCTTGTTCCTGTCTCGTCCCCAGGACTTAGCTGGCCTCTGCCCCTCCTGCCCCCCCGCGACTTTGTCCTTAGTGCCCTTTGTCTCTTTCCCTGACTCTTCCTCAGCCCTCCTCAGGCTGACTCCCATCCCTGGGCGGTGCCCTTCTCTCCGAGCATCCTCGTCCCTTCCCAGGACTGACGGTCATCGATGGGGTGGCCCAGAGGCCCCACCCCAAGTTCCTGCCACTGAAGCCTGCTCCCACTCTCTGCCCTGCAGCCTACAGCCCCTCCAGGCAGAAGCCTCAGCTCAGTCCTGTCCCTTCCTCTCCCCAGCTGTCTCTCGCAGGCACGCAACACCCTCTGAGCCAGGCCTTCCCTGTCCCTGCCCCACCACCTGCCTCCCAGCTCAGACACTCCTTCCAGCCGCACTGTCCCGCACCACGGCCCCGCATTCCATGCTCGGTGCTTCTGGGAGCCCTGTCCACGCCCAACAGCAGCTTTTCTAAAATTAAGTTTATTGGGGAGACATTGGTCAATAGCTTGCAACTCAGCCAGGCGAGTGAGTCAATGACAGAACAAGACCTCGAGCAGCCGCCATGGCTGGTGCTCCAGGTGGGTCCTCCTTTGGCCCACGAAGGCCTGTGCGGGGCTCCCCTCAGCTCCATTTCCAAAGGGGCAGCTCAGCCCCAAGAGGCTGAACATTGCAGGGACACAGCGGGGGCCAGTGCTAGGGGTGCGCCGTGACGCCTGGTGGGCCGCCTTAGGAAGCGCCGGCTGTGGTGCAGGCATTGCTGGGGGGCCAGGGCCAGCTGGCCGCATGTCAGGGTGATCGATCTGTTATGCTCTGGTGTGGTTACTCCTGTGCCACCTCATCGTCACAGCCTCTCCACCAAGACGATTTGGCGCCCGCTGCGCTGGACGCCCCCTCTGAAGGCTGGCGAGGTGTGCGTTCAGGAGGTGGCTCAGTGGCCGCGGGTACGCGGAGGATGTCAGGGTCTCCTGTTTCAGGCAGCTCTGGCTGTCGAGGGGTACCAGCCCCTCAGGGTGTGTCTTCTGTGTCTGTTGGGGGCACTCTTCTCCCTTATCTAGAGGACGGGAGACGCCAGGACGCGCCTCGGTGGCCACTGCTCTGAAGGGCCCTCTCCCTCAGCCCTGGGCGGGCGCCTGGCCCGCCAGCGGTTAAAACCTCTCCCTGCTGGTCTTTTGCAGTCAGAGCCAGCAGCCCCTTCTTTTGCTTCTTCTGAAGCAGATGACCAGGAAGTGTCTGAAGAGAATTTTGAGGAGCGGAAGTACCCTGGGGATGTCACCCTGACCAATTTTAAGCTGAAGTTTCTCTCCAAGGACATAAAGAAGGAGCTGCTCACGTAAGTCTCACCTGGGGAACCTCAGTCTGGACTGGAGTGCAGCTGGGCCGGGCTGGGAGGTCGGACCGCTCTGTCGGGCCTTCCGCTGCCCTCTACGCAGAGAGAGGGGCCTTGACCGGGCACTGGGGCCAGTGCCCATCATCGCTGCCCTGCACTGGCTCTCACGTGGTCCTCGAACGCGACAGAAGAGAAAGAGGCCCTGTTCTCCCCAGGCACCAGGCCGGGGCCGAGGGAAGCCGCGGCCAGGCCAGACCACTGCCCCGGGCGTGTGCCCTCAGCTCCGGAAGTGGACTGGCCCTCTGAGCTGGTCCTCAGGAACCAGGTGTCATCGGAGAGCAGGGAAGCTGCTGGAAGCTATTCATAGACAAATGAATCCACACCCTCCTGTGGGCCCTCAGAGCCAGCTCTCAGAGCAGGGCGAGGCCGCGCCTGTGCTGCCTGTGCCGACTCCTCTTCTGGTCCTGAGCCCCCTGCTCCGTAGCTGCTCCCCAACACGGCCAGCTTGGGCTCTGGCTGGCCCTTGTCCTCAGGGAAGGCCATGCTCTTCGGAAAGGAACTTCCTGTGTGTTCACGAGCACCCACATGTGTGCGGAGTTCTGCCTTGGTTCCCTTTCCCTCTGAGTCAAGTTCTCTGGCAGCTGCCATCCGAGGCTGAGGCTGTGCGCTGAGGCCTGAGGGAGGTGTTGCCTGCGGTGACCCAGGCAGCGACCCAGATGGTGGCCCAGCAGGCTCGGGCAGGCCTCGCTCTCCTCTGACGCTCTCTTTCTTTGTCCAGCTGTCCCACCCCAGGCTGTGACGGCAGCGGCCACATCACCGGGAACTATGCCTCCCACCGCAGGTTCGTCCCCTCTCGGGCTGCCTGGCCGGGTGCTGCGTGGCGGGCCTTCCTCCTCTCCTGCTCTGCTCCCCTCTGGCTTACCCCCTCTCTTGTCTTTCAGCCTCTCTGGTTGCCCTCTTGCTGACAAGAGCCTCAGAAACCTCATGGCTGCTCATTCTGCTGACCTCAAGTATGTCTGCCCTCCTGGCCACCCTCTCTCAGGTGGCTCTCTAGCTTTGCTGTCCCCTTCCATGAGGCTCCAGCCCAAACTGTAGGCTTCAGTCCCTGGCCTGCCTGCCTTCAGGAAGGGGCAGAGAGGCCAGGCCGTGGAGGAGCCGGTTTTGTGGCTGGGGCCGTTGTGCTTGTGTCTGCTGCTCTGAGGCTGCTGTCTGTCTGTCCCCACCCGCTGGGCTGCTGTAGGCTCCTGTGCTGTCCTGGGCCCTGCGAGGGCCCCTGGCGGCCTGACCTCTCCTGTGCTGAGGGCCCTGACGAGGGCCTGCTCCCCTGCACGTGGGTGGGCCAGCCCAGAACAGGGCTGCAGGCTGCTAAATGGAGTGCTGCTGCTGGTGCAAGAGAAAGCTCCTTCCCTCCCTCTCTGCAGCCCTCCAGCTGCTGGTCTTGGCCATGGTGTCCCAGATGTGCCTCTCCTCCTCCTCCTCCCTCTGTCTGCCAAGCCCATCCTCTTTCTGCTTCTGCTCCTCCCTTCCCCTAACGCACGGCCTGGCAGACTTGGTGGCACCGGCACCTGCCCAGCAGCCTGCTCGATGTACCCAAAGGTTCCCAGGTCTCTGTGTCCTTTTGGCGTGGCCTGGGACTGGCCTTGCCTTTGTGTTCACACCTTCAGCTGACCCGAGACAGGCTGGGCCTGGCTGAGCCAAGACGGGGACAAGGCGTCCCTCTGGCACCTCAGGTCGCCCTTGGAGGCTGCTCCTCCCTCCAGGCCTCTGTGTTGGGAGGCCCTGGGTCCAGGCAAGTTTCCCTGGCTGCTCCGCGCGGGGCCAGACAGAGTGGGCCTGGTGCCGAGCTGCGAAGCTGCTGTGCCAAAGCTCCCAGGCCCTGAGCTGCTTAGACACGGCAGGAGGCTTTGCTGCAAGGAGCTGGTTCCCAGGGCGCTGGGCCTGTCTGCCGCCCAGGGTCTTTCTGGGAGTGCCCGCCGGGACAGCGTTTCCTAAGGCGTGGCCATCCCCACTCCCGCCTGGGTCCAGGCCGGAAGCCCAGCGGAGCACGCAGCCCCACTGGGACCCCTCCTCGCCCCCAGCCTCTCTTCTCTCCGCCTCACCCACGCTCTTTCCTCCTGTTTTCCAATTCAACTGCCTTTCTGGCCTGGGATTGGTTTCCATGGATTTCTGGTTTGAGGGCCTGAGTGATTTCAGAGCCATGACAACGTGTGCTCAGGGCCACTGGATGGAAAACACCAGAAACGTGGCTTTGAGAGTGTTGCATCCTTTTCAGACTAAAAGCCTGTGAAGAACTTTAACTGAGCCCGGCTGGTGCTCAGACTGAAGGGTCCCAGGTTCTATTCCCGGTCAAGGGCAATATCTTGGTTGCAAGTTCCAGAGCTGGGAGGCAACCAATTAATGTGTCTCTCTCTCCCTCTCCCCATCCTCCCTTCCCTTCCACTCTCTCTAGAAATCAATGGAAAAAATACCCTTGGGTGAGGATTGAAAAATGACTCTAACCCAGAACATATTTAGAAGCAGCACCAGCAGCTTCCTGTGTGCAACAAGCTCCCCAGCCTCGGGCGTGCCGCTGTCCCAGAGCCTCCCCTCAGGGGCTCCGGGGCTGGCGGGCTCTTTCCCTGGATCCTTCTCCCTCCCCTTGTCCAGTCCCGACCAGCCCTGAGCTGGGATGGGGACAGACACTCTGCCAACCCCTTGCAAAGGAGACTCTTTCGGTGGCCTTCCTAGCGACGCCTGGGTGCAGTGAGTCTCCTACGATGTCATCTGTATTTTAATTAAATCCTTTTGCTCTTCCCGTTCACGTGCCCCGGTGCTGTCAGAGTGGGACTTGGCTGCCCAGCACCCTCTGTGTGGGGAATTGGGGTGCAAAGGTGTGATGGGGGCTCTGCACAGGGTGGAGACAGGGCTGGGGCTCAGGGGAGAGCCTGTGCGTCGCCATGCCCTCAGGCACAGGCTTCCTGCTGCCCAGGCAGCCCACTCACAAGCAAGTGGTGGGAGGTCCCTGCAGCTGGCCCTGTGGGTCCTCAGGGCCCCGAGAGGGGCTGGTGCCAGGCTGATCCAGCCACACGACAGCACCCTCTCTGGGACACAACTCAGGGAAAAGCTGTGGAATTGGGTCTCAGTAAGGAGTGAGGACAGTCTCAGCGGCCTGGGTCTGGTGTGCCTCAGCGGGACCCTGGGGTTGCTGGTCCCACCTGTGCCGGGCCTGGCAGGCACCACCCGCGTGTGCTCCTGCCCTAAATCAGATCCCACGGGGCTGCACCTTGCAGGGCCCTTCCCCACCATCAGGAGCCGTCAAGGCTGAGGTCACCGCCCACCTTGAGCCTCTGAGTCTCACTCGGGGGTGGAGGCAGAGGCCTGAGCAGCGCCTCCGCCCTCCGTGCTGCACTTGCCTCGGGAGCACTCCCAGGCCCCTCGTTTGAGGAAGAGGCAGCAGGACGCCACAGGGCTGGGCCTCAGCACGGAGTCATGTGAGGACCGTGTGCCTGAGGGACCCGAGCGGCTGGCGCTGGGCCTCGGGCAGTGCAGAGACATGGGCAGCGCAGGCGTGCTGTGGTGGGCAAGGCTGCCTGGATGGCTGTGGGGGTGGCTCCCATTAAAATGCCCTTGTCCCAGCATGGTGGGTTGCAATGTGACCACATGTGACTGGACAGAAACCATCATAACCTCAATGGGGTTGGAGTTACCCCACAGCCTGGTCAGGGGGTGATGGACTGGTTGGTCGACTGCCATGCAGGGAGACGTTTGATGTGTGGCCCTGACGTGGACAGCATGAGGAGGGGCCCCAGGAAGTCCCAAGGGCAAGGAGAGGCCAGAGGAGGCTGGGCATGGAGCCCACGTCGCGTGCCCACCTCGAGGATTCCCATGGGGACAGGCAGTGCCGCCTGCTGGGTTCTGGGAGGTGCCACTGTGACCGAGGAGCATCCGTTGGCAGCACCGGCTTCCTGTCCCGCCCCCAGTCCAGGCGCTGTGTGTGCTGAGGGGCACTAAAGAAGGGGTCGGCAGGCAAAGGCCTGTGTCCTGCTGCAGCGTAGTCATAGCCCCTCAGGCCACGTGGACGCTGGGTTCTGTGTGGGAGGGCGAGGGGGGGCAGTGGGAGTCCTGGGAGTATTGGTTCCCCCATGCACACCACAGGCCTGCTGGTCCCCCGCACGGACACCTGCAGAGCCAGGCTGGCAGCCGCAGGCGCGCACGGCGCTCAGAGGTCATTTGGGAAAAGTCATTTAAGGGAGCCACGCTCGTGCGCTACAGTGGGATTTCTCTGCAATGCGTCTGCAACGCCCTGTGCAGGCAGAGCTGGTCCTGTGCCTGCTCCCCATCCCACCCCGGTGAGAACACGCCGGGCAGTGGCCCTGGGCCGGTGCGGTGGCGCTCACACGGCACAGCCTCCTTCAGGAAGCCCTCTCCTCCCAGTGACACCATGAGACAAGGTGCTAGGTGCTAGGCTTGCCTTCCTGACCGCATGTAGCGTGAGGGCCGGTGTGTGTTCTGGAGCCTTCTACTGCAGCCCCAAACCCTGCACGAGCTCAGGTTCGGAGCCCAGCATCCCTGCTGAGGGGTTGTGCTCTCCTCTTGGCCTTCCTGGGACTCCGTGGGGGACTCACTGGCAAAGCAGTGAAGGCTGGAGGCCCGGTGGAAGGCTGGCCAAGATGGGCACCACCGACGGCGAGGCCCCCTGGGCGGGCGTCTTCACCGGCTCCATCCCAGCTCCCTGTCCCTTTGCTTTGCAGGTGCCCCACCCCTGGCTGCGACGGCTCTGGCCACATCACAGGGAACTACGCTTCGCACCGCAGGTGAGCCTGCCACGCCAGGGGTGCCGGGCCTCTCTCAGGTGGGGGTGAAGGTCCAAGTCAGACGATAGTGGTGCTGGCAGCCAGGTGGGGCTGCCTCTGCCTCAGGCTGGGCTCTTGGGGGCGATCCTGTGGGCCTTCCGGGGCGAGGCGCTGCTGCTCTGGGACACGGTTGTGTGTTTGAAACCAGCTTATCAGGCTGCCCTCGCGCCAAGAAGAGCGGAGCCAAGCCGACGCCGACGAAGGACGACAAGGAAGACCCCGAGCTGATGAAGTAAGTCAGGGCCTTGCCTGCAGAGCGGGGCTTTCCGGGATTCTCTCGATCCCCTTCCCACTAACACCAGGCAGTGGCAGCACCTGCTTGTACAGACGTTCTCGCCCCACGTATGTGGGCGCCTGCGAAGGCGTAGCCCTGTTCATTGTGTCGGGACATGCAGAGCCCAGCCGTGTGAGAGGCACAGGGCCCTGCCACCCAGGCAGCGGAGGCCTCTGCCGTCTGTGGGGAAGGGTGGTGCAGGGCTGCGGAGGAGGCGATGGTTAGAAAGATGGCGGATCTTGCTGCCGGTCACGAGTGTGGGACTCACAGCCATGTGTGCTCACACATCTTCGTAGGGGCCGAGTGAGATCCTTGGAGTTCACCTGGACTGGGGCCTGGCACGGCTATGGGAGGAGGGGCAGCCTGTGCCTTGCGTGATCCAAGTCCCTGAAGCCCTTTCCGACCTTCTCACTGGGGTGCTCGGCCCGGTCCTGTGTCCCCCTCAGCGGGCTGGTGTCATTGCGCGGGGACCCAGCAGGTGGGGCAAGGCCATAGGGACAAACAGGGTCCCTCGCCCTGCGGTGTGCCCAGGACTTTGAGAGGTCATGTAGCAAAGCAAGAGTGGGCCCTCCTGGCAGCCGAGGAGAGGGAGGGAGTGGCTGTGGCCCGGGGGCCGCACCGGGGCAGCGTGGCGGGCGGGGCCTCGGATCGCCAGGCTGATCCAAGCGGGAGCAGGTCTGACTGGACCGTGTTGCCTAGCGGCCAAGAACAGCCATTCCTGTTCCCGCTGAGGGAGCCACCGCTGGTCAGCATCACGGCTCCCCAGGGGCCCACAGCCCGGTGTGTAATAGGCTGAGACCTTTTTCTCCCCTTACATTTCGAGGGAACAGAGTAATGGAAGCTGAATCAGAGATGAAAGCAGGCTTTTGTTGGAATGCTGCCTGCAGGCGGCGAGGCTGCCCTGCGCTTCCTCCTGAGGGCCTGGGGCTTGCGGGTCGCTGGGGAGACGCCTGGTGCTGCAGGGCGTGGGCGCACTTGCTGTCCCGGTCACGAGCCAGGCCGAGCAGGCTCCCTGAGAACCGGCTCCTCTTCCCCGTGTGCTGTGAACTTTGTTTAAAAAAATAAAACGAACAGCAAGATTTCTGCAGCGGCTGAGAAGGGACTTTCAGAAACGCTCAATCTTCGGAGTGGGGGTGGGTTCCCATGTGGGCGCCCTGGCCTGCCCTCACGGAGCCTCTGGACGGGCTGGCGAGGAGAGATAGTGTCGGTGTCTGCTTCGCTTGAGGTTAAGTCCCGTCAGGACTTTGTGGGAATCCCTTTGGCCACAGCTGAGTAACTGGCCATCCAGGTCTGGGAGGCTCATGGGTCAGGGCTGGATGCCCTCTGTCCTCGGCCACAGCGGCATCTGGGGTCCCCCGCGGCTCATCACGCCTGCTCCGGCACAGGCTCTCGGGAGTGCGGAAGCACCGCGCGGCACTGCACCGTTCACGGTCACCGGCAGCTGCGGAGACTGGCCTGGTGGGTGGGAAAAGGGCCCCCGTGCATGCAGTCGCTGCAGCAGGCTGCTCGGAGGGCCACCGAGACTCTGGGTCCCACCGCCCACGGCCTTTGGGTCTTGTCATGCCGGTGCTTCATGGCACCAGGCCCAGGCCCCCTGCAGACGCCTCAGCTGGGAGGTGTCCAGGTTTGGGGAGGTGTCCAGGTTTGGGGAGGTGTCCAGGTTTGGGTGTAAAACGGAACCTCCCAGCCCCTGTGAGCCATGGCAGTGTGTCTGCTCTGAATTATGGGCTGAGGTGAACTTGGATGGGGTCAGCGGACACTCCGCAGGCCCAGGTCCATGGGGGCAGGATGATTAAGGAAAGGGAGCTGGCCGAGGGGGACAAACAAGGCTGGGAAACTGTGGCGGCTGCTCCAACCGAGGTCGGAGCCAGGAGCCCAGATGGCCTTTTCACTGGGCAGTGCACCCCCGCGCCCTCCCTCCCCCCGCCCTGGTGCTGCAGGAGCCCTGGGACAGCCTGGCCCTATAGGGTTTCCTGCCCTGATTTCTCTGAGCCCAGGGACCTCTCTGTAACCTGGGCCTGTGTGCGGGCGGGTCTGCAGCACCAAGGGGTGGGACAGCATCGCATTAGAGGAGGCTCGCTTGTTGGAGAGAGAAGATAGGGACTAGGGGGATGGAGCTTGTCCCCTGTTCCTGTTGGCCCCACAGCCTGGACTGGTGCTCAGAAGAAACAGCCCCTGAGGCCACCAGAACTGGCGGCCTCGCCCTACTGTTTGTAACTGTAGGGGCGGGCAGGCACTCTGAGCTCCCCTCAGGTCATGTCTCCTGTCCTGGGGCGCTGTGATTTCTGTAGGGACCCCTTCCTCTCCTTGAACAATCTGAGCAAAGGGAAGGCCAGCACCAGGCTGGGTCCCTGTGGGGTCTGAGCCCCTTTTCCCACAGAGCTGTGGCCTCCATCTGTCCTTCCAAGCACACATTTCAGATGTGGCGAAGCTGGGACACCCATGGGCATCATGCCTCATTATGGGTGGTGTGGGGTGGCAGGCTCCTGCTGTCTCCAAGCTGCTGGGCTCAGGGTGCCCTCTGACCTCTGTGACTCCTCAGCCACTCAGGCCTGTGCGTGGTACAGGCTCCCAGCTAGTGGTCTCTGGAAGGACCCAGTGGGCACCTCACTGCTGGCGTGCTACAAGGCAGCAGTGGCAGCAGGTCTACCCGTAGGTGTGGATCCAGGACCCTGTGCACCATCTTGGGGCCAGGGGGTCAGCAGGAGTCTGCTGAGGACCCTCTGGCTGGCGAGGGGCTGTGTTCCCTGCTGCTGTCACCTCCCTGGAGCTGCGACCATGGCAGGGCCGTGTGGGAGGGTCTCGGGGCCTTCCTCCAGCTCCCCTTGCTCCCCTTGCCAGGTGCCCAGTTCCAGGCTGCGTGGGGCTCGGCCACGTCAGCGGCAAGTATGCCTCCCACCGAAGCGCGTCGGGCTGCCCGCTGGCTGCCCGCAGGCAGAAGGAGGGCTCCCTCAATGGCCCCTCGTTCTGGAAGTCCCCAAGGAACGAGGGGCCCACCTGCCCCACTCCGGGCTGCGACGGCTCGGGCCACGCCAACGGGGGCTTCCTCACCCACCGGAGGTAACCGCCCTGCACTGGGAGCCTCTGGGGGTTCCGGGGGGCTGACTGGGCTCAGGGGTGATGGGCACTGTCTTGGGGGAAGATCAAGGTCAGGACTGGCAGCTCCTGGGAGGGCGAGAGGAAGCGTGTGGTCTGGGTGATGTGCCTTCGGCCTGACCTGAGGTGGCTGTCACCACCTCCCTCCACGTGCCCGGTCCCTCTCGCCCCAGCTGCCAGTGTCTCAGGAGCAGTGTTGGTTGCTACAGGCCCTGCCTTCCTGCTGGGGCCTCTTTGAAGTTTGGGGCCAGGCCTTGCCTGTCTTGCAAAGAGGCCTGATGACAAGACCCCTCCTCGTCCTGTCAGCAGTCCGGGGGCTCCCCCACCGTGTCCCAGGGCGAGTGAACCTTTCTCTCCAGCCCACTCTCTGTGCCCGGTGGTGGTTGGGTGTACAGGCCACTGCAGGGTCCTGTCTTCCTTCTTGTATTTCCCTCGTCGGTCCACCATGTGGTCGATTAATTCACTCTCTCTGGGAGTCCACAGAGCGCTAGGCTCTGGAGGAACAGCAGAGATGAGATTGCCAGCTGGCCCTCCTGGAGGCGCTGTGGGCAGGGTGGGAGGGAAGATGGCTGCAAACAAACACGTGAAACGCCCAGAGCAGTCAGCTGTGTCCCCGCTGGGGAGGCGTAGTGGGGAGGGTGCTGAGGGAGATGCCAGCTTCCCAGAACATCTGGGAGACAAGTCTTCAGGGCAGTGACTGGGGTCCTAGATGAGGAGGGAGGGAGCTGGGGGACTGTCCTGGGTGAGGGGGCAAAAGGTCATGAGCTAGAAAGTTCCACTAGGACCCTCCTAAGCCACCACTGAGATATGTGACCTTGGGCTGGTTTTTGAGGCGTGACTTTTGCTTCCAGTCTGTCCGGCTGTCCCAGAGCAAGCTTTGCTGGAAAGAAGGGAAAACTCTCAGGGGATGATGTTCTTGGCACGAAGTTTAAGACTAGTGATGGTAAGGATGCCCTTTGGGCAGCGTCTGCATGAGACCTTGGCACCGGGTGAGAGAGCCTTGGCGTAGGGAGGGGCTTAGGCACACACAAATGGGTCTCCCGACCTTGGGAGGGGGGCCTGTGTCTGGGCCTCCAGCACTCCAGCTCTGACCTGGGCATCCATGAATCCTGGCTGCCCTGCGGGCTTATGGAGCAGAGAGCTCAGTCTCCGTGAAGAAGGCAGCTGAGGAAACTCAGTATCATCTGAAAACACTTCCATTTGTTCTTGGCAATTAGTGCCTGTGGCCCAGGGCCAGGAGGCAGAGCACAGGCACAGCCAGTGCCCCAGACCAGCCTTCCCGGCACGGAATGTGGGAGGTGAGCCCCTTACCAAAGAGCTCAGAAAGCAGGCCGGGCGCTTCTGCTTGGAAAGGGGCCCCAGTTCCATCCAGTGAGCAGACCTCTGCCACGCCGCCACTCGCTGGCCTGGGCGTGAGGCTGAGAGCTGCTACCAGGCTTTCTCTCTGGGCAGTGCTGGAGAACGACGAGGAGATCAAGCAGCTGAACCAGGAGATTCGAGACCTGAACGAGTCCAACTCAGAGATGGAGGCCGCCATGGTGCAGCTGCAGTCCCAGGTGGGTGGCTCCGCCCACCTGCCTCTGGCCCCAATTCAACAAAGTCCTGTTGTCCTTGGTCCTTGGCTTCCTCTCTGAAGGGAGGAGAGTCAAGCCCCACATCAGGGTCACTGCTGGGCTGGGCAGATGAGCATGGTGCTCATGGCTGCCTCGGTCTGCTCTGCCGGTCAGCGTTGGTCCTTGGAGCTGGTGGGTGGTGGCCCCGGTAGAGTCAGTGCCGGGAGGAGCACACCAAAGTGTGGGCTGGAAGAGCCTGGACAGAGCTGGTCTCACGCCGCATGGCCACACAGGCTGGGGGCAGCTTCCTGTCCTTGTGGACGGATACAGTGCAGTCAGCTCCACGGGTCGTCAGAGGAGCGTGTCTCTGTGAGAAAGCAGCACTGCCGCCGAGCGGTGGCATTGCCAAGGACTCCACGTGTGTGCCACATCCCTCGGACTTCCCCCAAGTGAATGCTTGCGATCAGAAAAATAGCAGTAAGATCTCATCTTGAAAAGGAGACCATGGCCTGCCCTCGGATGTTGAGTGGGCTGGAGCGGAGCTGGGCATACAGAGGTGGGCCACATAGAGTTGTGTGCCTGTGGCTAATGGGCCAAAGGGACCAGGCCTTGTCGGACTTGAGGGCAATGAGGATGGCACAGAGATGGGGCTCCTGACCTGAGGCTGGCCTGTGACGCGTCAACTCCGCTCCTTCCTCCCAGGCAAAGGGCTCTGGGGGCCGCCAGTCACCCAGAGGCCATGCACACACAGCACTGGCCGGAGGGGTCAAGGAAAAAGCCCAAGCGAGGGAGGCAAAAGGTCATGAGCTAGAAAGTTCCACTAGGACCCTCCTAAGCCACCACTGAGATATGTGACCTTGGGCTGGTTTTTGAGGTGTGACTTTTGCTTCCAGTCTGTCCGGCTGTCCGGACTTGAGGGCAATGAGGATGGCACAGAGATGGGGTCACTGTGCCAGCGGCGTCTTCCCCAGGTTCGTGGGCAGGGGAAGAAGAGAGGTCTCGGGCCGTCTCTGGGCTCCAAGACACTTCTTTGTGCCGTGTCTGTCCCGCCCTGGCCCTTGGCTTCTCAAAGACCGTGGGCCTCCGGCATCAGTATCCAGCAGGCAGCACCTCTGATTTCTCTTCATTTGCCAACACCCATCTTTTTTGTTGTTTATCCTCACCTGAGGATATTTTTCCATTGAGCTCACCTGGACTCCTTTCTCTCTTTTTTTAGAGAGAGTGGGAGGGTGGGAGGGAGGGAGAGAGAGAAACATTGATGTGAGAGAGACATATTGATTGGCTGCTTCCCAGCACGTCCTGACCAGGCCAGAGACCTTGCCTGCAACCGAGGGTCGTGCCCTTGACTGGGTCAAATCTGGGAGCCTTCAGTCCGAGGACCAACGCTCCACCACTGAGTCAAAGGCCAGGGCGCCACGACCACCCATAGGAGCATGCTCAGCCTCCTGTAGGGAGGACTCCCTGCCCCCTCCAGGGTGTTTCCATCGGTGCTAGGCAGAGGCAGATGCCCAGCTCATCCTCAGTCCAAGCTGCCACCAGGTGCTGCTCAGGATGCTCCCAGCCACTGGTCACAGAGCCACCTGACTGGAGGAAAACACCCCCTGACTCCTTCCCCCACAACGGTCTGTCACCACTGACACTGAACTTTCTGAGCCCAGGCTGCTGCAAAATTCAGTCAGGCAGGGGGTGCCCCCAAGCATGTCTTCTCTAGGCCAGGCCTCAGGCAGGCTCCCCACCTTCCTATGCTGGCCACACGCCTCTGCACAGTTGTGAGCCACCCAGAGCAGACAGCATGGCCTGTGGCTGCCAGCCCTGGCACCGCTGCCCCTGGCATTCCACTGCAGAGCCAGGAGCCCCTTGGGCTCTGCCCGGAGTCCCCTCTGGTTCCTGCTGGAAACCCCAGGCCCTGTCAGGGTGCCCGGAGAAGCCATCAGCCGCTCCCCTTGGCGATGGGCTGCCGGGACAGTGGATCCCACCCCCACCCCCACCCCCAGCAGCTAGACACGTGGCTGGTCTTTGCGGAGTGGAAACGGAAGGCAGCAGACACCCACTGGGTGCAGATTGCCCATCACCAGCGAGGACCATGAAGCTGCCCAGGACTGAGCTCGCTTGGGCTTTTTCCTTTACCCCGAGGAGTGGCCCCCCACAAGCTATGGCCCACACTGCCCTGCTAGTCTCTGTGTGCCCTGTACCTGGGGACCAGGGCGCTGCCAGCCCCTCCCTGGGGCAGGGCCCTCCCTCGAGGCAGGAGATGGGCCAGGAGGACGTGAGGGCGCGGCTCCCGTCTCTGTCTGTGCAGATCTCCTCCATGGAGAAGAGCCTTCGGACCATCGAGCAGGAGAACAAGCTCATCGAGGAGCAGAACGAAGCCCTGTTCCTGGAGCTGTCGGGCCTGAGCCAGGCCCTCATCCAAAGTCTCGCCAACATCCGCCTTCCGCACATGGTGAGCAGCAGGCAGTGCTGAGGGCGCCGGGCGGGCTGTTGCCACATGCTCCTGGTCCCCCGAGTTGCTGGAGATCCATAGCCAGCCTCCGGGTGACGGAGTAGAGGGGCAGTGGGTGCTGGGTGGTGTGGCCTCGGCCCCTGCGGCTCCACAGCCTCTGAACCCCCGGGCTGCCACGGGCAGGGGCGCCACGGGCAGCACTTGCTAGCCTGGTTCTGTCCTCCAGGAGCCAATATGTGAACAGAATTTCGACGCCTACGTGAGCACCCTCACCAACATGTGCTCCAGCCGGGAGAGCTACCAGAACCCCGAGCACAGGGCCCTCCTGGAGAGCATCAAGCAGGCCGTGCGGGGCATCCAGGTCTAGGCTCCACCTGGATGGGGTGCCAGGACCCCAGCCGGGCTCCCTGTTTACCTCCCCGCACTGCCCTCCCAGAGGTCCCCGAGTCACAGTGACTTCTGGGGGGCAGCCGCCTCGCGCTGGATCAGAGGGGTGCCTGAGGTTGGGCTCCCTCCGATGCTGGTCAGGCTGAGGCCACAGCCTCCCTGAGGGAGGGCAGAGTGTGAAGTATTACAAAGGGATTTATTTTTGTTTTCTGAAAATAATCTCAAGTTCAGCTCGAGGTCTCCAGTGGTTCTCAGGGAAGTTTTGGAGTTTGTGACCACGGTGTCCCGTGTCTGTGGTGCTGGGTGGCCCGTGAGCCTGGGCCCAGCCGGCGTCGGCTCTGCGAGGCGTGTGGGAGTGTGTTTCTGTTTTCAGTTCATTCAGTTTTGTGTTGAGACGGAACAAAGCACCACTCCGGAGGGTAAGTCAGGAGCAGCCTGCAGCCCCTTCAGCTCTGCACAGGCCTGGCTCAGGGCTGGGCCTGGACTCGGTGCCTGACCCCGGCCTAGCCTGTCACTGCAGGGTCAGCTCAGCTCGACTGAGGGGCACAGTGTCTGTGAGGTCAGGGGACAAATTCTAATTGGACACACCAAGGTCTCACTCCTTGTTAGATCTAAAGATTTGAAAAAAGGTAAATTTTAATTTAATGTGTTAAAAACACAATGTTCCTACATGTAAATAGAGCCCAAATCAGTTGTGACTGCAATTCCAAGTTAGTATTTACAAGTAGAGAAATTGCTCTTTCTGGAAGAAATAAAAAAAGTAGTTAGTTTAGTTATTCTGTAAATTATTTAAATTTGTCAAGATGTAAGTATTTATATTCACAACCTCTTTTATGTTAATGTTTGCTATTTATGTGACATTTTTATTTATTAATTTTATACTGTTTGAAGTAGCCCCCCCACATGCCAGGATACCATGAGAGAGAAATGAATGAAATCAAAGCAAAATTAACGATTTGACTATGAGGTAGGCCACATATACAGGAAATCTTGTTCTAACTTCTAGTTATAATTTTGATGCAATCAAATTATTTTTAATATATTTGTTATTTATTCTTTTAATGATGGAGTTAAAGGTGTAGTGGAGGAGCTGGTCCAGCGGGAAGACGTGGTTCTCTCTCCCTCTCGGTTCCTCTGTTGCAGGCCGGCCGCTCTGTGTTTGTGTTGGTGTGTGTAGCGCAGCTGTGTGTCGTGCGATGTCCGTATGCAGATCGTGATGGCGAGTCCTGTCTCTGGGGTGCTGGCCATGGCGCCGAGCAGTCACCCGCCCACTGGCCTAGCTCCCCTGAGCTCATACTGTGACCCTCCTTCCTCAGGAAACGCGTGGAGCCCGCAGCACAGCCCTTCCCGGTGTGCTGGCGGGGATTTCCTAATAAAAGCCCACTCTGACTGTGATGGGAATGTGTTGTGTGCACGCTGCCCCTGTGCCTCTGCCGTCACCTCCGTGGCAGCCCTGGCTCACCTTGCGGGGAGTGGGAGAGGGGTGGGCTTTCATCTCAGGCCTCTTCCTGCTGCCACCCAGGGAGCCTGCGACTTCCCGAGCTGTGGTTCTAGAGTCCTGCTGCCCCGCCGGCCCACATGCCAGGCCTGTGCAGCCTGTGTTCTTGTGGCCCAGGGAATCTTCCGCCGCGAGTGTAACTGGGAGGGTGGCTGCTTCAGCCGTCTCTCTTCCCGGCCACAAGGAGAGAGCCTGCAGGAGGAGAGAGCTTGGGCCTCAGGGAGGCGGGCTGAGAAGGGGGGAGAGAGCTCTGTAAGAACCTTTTCAGAGCTCCTGGATCCAGCCAGACCTGAGGGCTATACCCTTGCAATTCCCAGGTACAGGAGGCCACAGAGCAACAGAGTCCCTCTTGTTGGCTTCAGCCCTGGCCTTGCAGCAGCACCTCACTGTCTCCTGCTCCTGCGCGGGGCTCTAGCGCCCCAGGGTCAGGCCAGGCTAGGGGCACGCTTTGACCTCCCTGGGAATGTGGCCCTGAAGGGTGACCATGTGAACAAAGGAGCGACTTTAGAAACCCCGGGTTTCATTTTCAAGCCCAGGCCGGGCACGTGGGGTGCAGAGGTGCCAGTGCCGCTATAGGACAGAGGGCACACCACAAGCCTGTGTCCTGGTGTCCCTTTGCTGAGGCTCCACTGGGACAGGGGTGCCTGAGGCCTGGACTGTGCCCACGGAGCCCCGCTCATCAGCACGCAGGTGCTTGGATGTCAGCAAGGCCGATTCTAAAGTGTCCGCTCTGCAGGCCGAGAGTTTGCTGGGGAGTGGAGGGGGCAGGGAGTGGAGGAACAGGGTCGCCCCCTCTTGGAACAGTTGGTCCAGGTAGATGCCATGGCCTGCTAGGATGCTCCGACCCTCCCCAGGTGGGGGGCCCTGCTCAGAGGCCCTCAGGACTCCTGGAGGCAGAGGCACACCCCCTTGAGCTCCTCTGGTCCTCGCCTGTGGAGCTGAGCAGGCCCCACAGTCAGGCCAGAGTGGGGGAGGGCCAGGACCCAGGAGACAGCTGTATGGCTGTGTGGGTGCTCATGTGAGGAGTCCTGGCACTTGGCCCCAATGAGTGGGGCCCAGCAGATCTGAATAGGGGAGCCCAGGTGTGTCGGTAAGCTGGGAATGCGGGTGTTTGCCAAAGGCACCCAGTTTGGTTGGGCATTTGAATGGCTCCTGGGAGCAGGGGGCATGGGCAGGGGGAAGCATGCAGCCCAGTACCCTCCCCACAAGCTGCTGCTGCTGCCCTGCGAGTGGGAGACGAGCCAGGACTGTGACCTTTGATATTGTTCAAGCCCCTAAACCCTTTAAGTGGGAGGTTGCACAGACCCTGACCCGGCCGAGATGGAGGGTCAGAGCTGGTGTGGTCGGGGGAGAAGCTCAGCACCATGGAGCTGCCCAGACAGACCCTTCCCAGAGGGTCTCTAGTTGCCACTCCTCGGTCCAATACAGAGCTTTGGCGGGGGGCCACAGCCCCGCAGGGATGTACGCTCTGCAGGCGGGCGGAGGGGGAGTGTGCCCGCAGGGGCAGCCACAGGCCTGAGGGATGTGCAGCGGTTGTCAGGAGTGCTGGGCAAGGTTCGTCATGGGGGCTCTGGCTTCTGATGCACAAGCACAGGTGACGGCTCTAGGCTGCACTGGCCCATGCCCCCCCAACCTTCTGCAGATCATGTCCAGCCTCTCAGTGAGGGGCCCCCACTATATGCTGCTGAAGGAGGGGGAGCCTAGACCCCAGCTCACTCACCCTGAGGACACCCTCGAACCCGCCCCCCTTCCCATCTGTACCAGCTGCCACTCCTGGTTCCGAGCTCTGCCCTGGAGGGTGGCAGCCACTGGATGTCTGCACATAGCTGCCACGCAGGCCACCCGTAAGCACCCACAGTCTCACCTGGCACCTTCAGAGCACCCGCGTCTGCTCCCACCACCTTCACTGCCACCTGCCACCAACAGCTTTGGTAGGAGTTCCGGAGCCCACTCTTCCCAAACTGGCCTCTCACTGAGGCGGTTATCCTCCCCCACACTCCTCCTCTCAGCCACTGAGAGGGTGAGGAGCGGGGGAGAGCTGGCGAAGGGGAGGGGACCCTAACCTTGGGACTACATCCTAGTAAGTGTGGTGTCCTATGGACAGACCTTTGGACCCGGGTCTGGTGCTTTTTCTTTGTGAGGACCCTGCATTAGTCAGGTTTCTCCAGGAAAACAGAACCAATAGGAGATAGATTAGATATATAATAGATTTAGTTTAACAAATTGCTCATGTGATTGTTGGGGCTCAGGCTGAACTCTGCAGGCCAGGCCAGAGGCTGGAGACCCAGGAGGCGCTAACGCCCTAGCTCCGCACCGGAGGCTGGCTGGCCGAACGCACTCCTCCCTGGGCTCTCGGTCTGCTTCAGGCCTCAGCTGTGTGGCTGATGGAGAAGAATTTGTAGTACTCAAAGTTTACCGACTTACATGTTATCACTTTAAAACACACACAAAAACATTAAAAAACAACAACAACCTTCACAGCAACATCTAGACTGATGTTTGACCAACCACCTGGGCGCCATGGCCTAGCCAATGGGCCCCTCCCCTTTCCCTGCGCCCATGCATGGGAACTTTTTATTAAGGTGGTTTGTTTTAAGATAAGTTATTTTTATCTTACGAGTCATTTACATGCACAAATAAAAAGATTAGTGTTCACCAGTATTTTCAGGTCAACATCACGCCCTGTTGCCTGCACAGCAACAGCAGAGAGGCTGGGACAGGACTGAGAGCTGCGCGAAGACTCCGCTCTGGCTGCAAATGCCTTGAAAAGAGGAAGAAATACCTTTCCCTGTTCAGAGACTCATGTGGCTGTTCCCATCACAAAAGCTGTGCTATGGCGACCCCTTGTGGTGAAGTTGGAGTCTTGTTATTACTGTGGCCTCAAGCTGCTGAGGTACAGACCCTCCAGCTCCCCTTTCCGAAGCACCATCCGAGGCAGGAGAGGAGGCTCAGCGCCAAGGCCACACCGGAGGCGCCCCGCCCCCTCCCACTTCCCGCCTAATGGTGTTTCATGCGTCTGCTGGCAAGGACCTCACTAAGAGACCCAGGACACCAAGAGCATGAGATGTCAGAAAGGGGGCGGGGTGGTGCCACCACCCTCCCAGGTCCTCTGCAAAGGCAGTGAGGGTGGCCTTCCTTAGCAGCGCTTCCTGGCTGACCTGGGAGCAGGGGAAGACCCCACTCCACCAGCCAAAGGAGCCTGCATCGGCAGCCCTGGCTCAGCTTCCCCCTCACTGTCTGAGGCTTGGGAACAGCGGCTGCTCCTCAGAACAGGAGGCGAGCTCACTAAAATCACGGAACGGTCACTGCCAAGGCAGTCTTTGCCCACAGTAAGGCAGCAGCTCTGTAGCAAATAAAACAAGTGGTGTTCTCAGCCAGGACAGGCGCACGAAGGAAAACATTTACTGTGCAGACATATAGCTTATATGTACATTCCCCACGTGGCTATCCTTGCCAATGCTTGTCATACTTTTGTGTAGACC